TTGCTATGAATAACAACCAGATGTTACCAATAAAACATTGTTATTCTTTCATACCTGGTTTAAATGCACAAATGAGGACAGTCAAAGCAATATTTTTTATATCTTATAGTTGTGCTTTAGCATCCTACTGGATTAGCTAGATAATGTGACCTGGAATAAAATCATACTTCATTTGCTTTTTTTTGTTTGTTTGTTTTTGGAGGTGTAAAAGAATCTGAAACAGTAACTAGTTTATTTAGCAGCTAAATAGGCTGAGCCCTAGAGCGATGCAAAGGAAGTGATTTTAACTGTAAGAGAGAAATATCATTTTTATTAAGCTAGTTTAGTTTATTTGTGTATTTGCAGGACTATTTAATTGATTTTAATACAGAAATTAATGTTTTGTTATGTAGAAATTGCCATAGTAAGTGAAGGAAAAGCTTAAATCTTGTTAAGTCTCTGCTAGAGCAGGAATAAAAGGAACTGGGGGAAGTACTCTGAAGTACAAGGGCAGGAAATAATCCAATCATGAAGAAATAGTCTTTTCAATCAATTAAAAATACTTTGAAATCTAAAATCCTGGACATAGATTTGTAGTAATTCCTTCCACAATTGTTGTATGCATTTGTTATTTATACTAATGTAAACTTAGATTGACCTTATCTCTAATTTGCAAAGTATACCTTATATTCTGCTAAACGCTTGCTCTTAATGATAGTTTTAAATAACACAATTTGTAAGTAATACTTCCTTGCAGAAATACCTCCTGTCTAGTTTTACGTGTCATGTCAGCAAAATTATTTTAACCAGTTTAAAATTTTCCACCTTTACTTTATTAAACTGAATATTTCCTTGCTCTTGTGTCATATGGGATTATATTTACATTATCCGAGTTTTAAACTGGAACACAATATGTTTTCCTAAACTTACAGCCATCTGAATTTTCTGGAGACAAGATTTCATTTGCAGTTCTGTATTTGTTACTGATATTTTTACAGCTTCTTGTGCTGTAATTTCAGAATTTGGGGGATACCTCTGAGTAACTGTACTTAAATAAATCACTTGTAGTATGTACAGACAATAATTCTCATCCTTCTAAAAATATTTGCTCTGCTTTGAAGTACACATAATATCTTGTTTGCTCAGAAACATCCTGAAATAACCAATTGTACAACATTCCTAACATAGAATAGCAACTCCAATTGAAGCTGCTGTTCATGTACACTGTAGGAATACCAAGCACCTGAAAAAAAAAAGTAAAATAAAATACTAGAAAAGTACTGGACAAAATTTCTGCAGAGAAAATGGGACACATCAAGAAAGCACACAGACATGACAGTTTATGGTTGACAATATAATTTTTTTACAGGAATCATAATTTCATGCCTGCCTTTCAGTACTCTGTCACAGTTTTCTTTTAAATCCTCTGTGAGGAAGGATGATCATCAAAGTTTTTTTCTATCATTATAAAGCATCATAATCTAGGGATGAAAAAAGAGGTGATCTTGACACAGTATTCTGTATGCTCTTTCTGGGTGCAGCATCAGTATGAGAAGCTACAGTTTGGCTTCCTGAGGAGAAAACCGCATGGTCTGAATACTGGGAGATTTTAAAAGTTATGAAATAGTAAATGCTTACCTGCACAGATCTTTCTATATATGTATTTATTTAATCCTTTGACTACAACATGAATGATAGCATGGATGCATCAGTTGCATCAGAAGGGTCTTATGCAACCATTAAAAATTAATTTAAAAAAAACTTAATGGACTTCTGTATTTTGTTTTTAATGGAGTATAAGCATCAATCAGCAAAGCAAGTCTTCAGAAAGAATTCCCACTTTTTCCTCAGCTGAAGATACAAAAGCAAGGTGTTTTCACAGTAGTAGCATTCCTCTATTTAGACAGACATTTTCAGCCAAAACTTCTTGTATTGCCATGGAATGACGAGTTGATGCACCATTGTGAGAATTCACAGAAGGCATTTTAACCTTTAGTGCCTCATTTCTCCTGTTTCCTTTTATGCCAGTCTGTGGGTGTTGGGGGGCTGTTTCCTTAAGAGGATGTTTTTCAATATAAGCATAATTTGAAAAGCTGTATCCTCTGTTGCTGAGGGATTTAGGTTCTATTAATAGTAGAGATAGTCTATAAAACTAGCCTCTCTTGATCTTTTTGAATAATTCACATAATTGCCTCAAAGTATCTGAATTGGGCTTGCCTTTCCCTAAGTCTGCCTATAAGTGCCCCTCTCTGATACTTTTGAACCATCAGCTGCTTCTAGCAAAAGTAATTTTAGAGAAAAAGGCAAGGGAAGGGAAGGGAAGGGAAGGGAAGGGAAGGGAAGGGAAGGGAAGGGAAG